GATGAAACGGTTTCAAGCTTGAAAACTCAAATCAAGGCGAAGATCGGACAGACATTCCTCGAATTCCCAATGGCCGATGCCGATGCCTGCCAATACGGTGAGCTAAATTCGTAACTATGTTAGACTTTTTCAACGTGGTTATTCGATCTCTTACATTCCGCTTCCGTTAGTCCAAGCTATGAGATTAGAAGAGCCTCGAAGCGTTTATTACCTACTTGCTTGGTCCAAATGTGATTAGATGTACTCAGAAAAGGGAATGATTGGGGACAGTCTTGTTCTGCTTTATAATTTGCAGACGAATTGGACGTTCCAAGGTTTGCTGCAGTCTCGGAGCCCTTGGTTTAATGAGAATAATTGGAATATAACTTGTCTTTTTTGTGCTGGGGACACTTGACGCAGAGAGCCTAAGGCTTCCAAAACCGCTTCCACAAATTTTCTTGTATTGTATCTACATGGAAACGTAACAGTTACGTAGGTCCTTTTACATAAGAGAATCGCTTAGCTGACCCTGAAGGTCGTTTCAGTTTCAAAAGGTGGGATTACCGTAGTCGGCATGAACTATTTATTACACGTGAATATTCCCTACATTCTCATACTACCGAGGTAAGCAGTTTATGCCAATATTCCCCTCTTTTCGATACCTCATTTAGCTGCAGTGAGTACTTGGCCTCCTCCCCCCATTTTCCCAACGAAGGGTCTACATTTGGCGCTTATGGGTTAGAGGCATTCAAAATACGGCACTCAACAACCCTTGGTTGGTGACGCTATGACTAAGCGCAAGAGAGGGGAGAAACACCATGAAGAACTGAAATTGCTCACATCCTCCACCAGAATCCCTCCATCGCTGAGGCTTAGTCCCAATTACTGTTAAAGGCTCACTCCTTGAATAACGACGTTAGCGCCTTGCGTGTTTCAAAATTACCGTCTTCGGGTTTGAATACTTGAACTGCATGAAACATATTGCATGTTTAGTGGGCAATGTTCTAAATAATCGTTTTCAGGAGTAACTTGTCCAGTGGAAGAAGGCAAGGAGTATCTCTACGAGAAGGGTATTGAAATCATTCACAATTATCCCAAGGTGAGTTGGGTGTACTGGTGAATAATTCGAAATCACCGAAACTGCTCAAAAGATCATTTTGTTTTATTTTCTATGTAGAATTTTGAGAAAGCATACTAGTTCTTTCTTATCAACTCAATTCCTGCGGTGTGTGTACCAGCGAGTAGCTTACCATTTTAGCTCTCCATTACGCCATCCATGGTAAATCTCTGCGATAAATAGTTCGGTTCGGAGAGAGCGCGAAAGTAATAATGACCTTACCCTAACAAACCCCAGGTCACCTCAGATCATGCACAGTCCATTTCTTGTGTTCTGTTCTGCGATTGAGTGTGTGGCACACACTGAAGATCTTCACCAACCAGCCGCCTGCGCCAAAATGCTTTCTTGAGCAAACATTTCAATTTTCCGCTCAACTCTGCCAGAAACCCGTGAGGCAATCCGATGTAGAGATACCTCCAATCGTTTGTCCAACGGTTTCAGCCGGTGGGAAGGTGATGATGCTGTGCAAACCAGAGCAACTCTTTGATGAGTAAGTATTCCTTGTGGCTGACTGCACTACAAGCGCTTTAACAAAGCCTTATTGGCTAGCGTTTCGGCGAGTTCGCCTTCGTCGGAGTTTCAAAGGATAGGAGTCGAGTTGGTCATTATGGGTCGGATTACCCCCAATTCGTAATCCTATCGTTGTTACTTTTCGAAAAATTTTTACGACCCCCCTCCCCCAACGTGGATTTGATACGACCCCCTTTTCCCTACCTCCACCATCTCCATCTTCCATCAAAACCCCGCCCACTTTTTCCTCCAAAAATGCCGTCGAGCGGGGGGGGGGGGTGGGGACTCCCTAAGCCCAGTAAACATCTCCGAAAATC